GGTGGGTGGGGCTCTGACACGGCCTGTCCTCACCGCCCACTGGGAGGAATGCTAATCCCAGCTGGTGGGGTCCATTCCTGGGGCCTGAAGCTCCGAGACCATCCTGCTCCAAAACCAAGGGGTCCCCCTCCCCCAAGCCCTGCAGGTGCCCACACTACGGCCACACCTGAGCGGTTCTGCTGTGATACCATCAAACCTATGACAACTGCGTGTGGGCTGGAACCACAGTGTTCTGCTCTGTTCTCCCTGAAACCAGAGGACAGTTCTTTTTGTTTATTTTTTAAAGAATATATTTTTATTGATTTCAGAGAGGAGGGGAGAAGGAGAGAGAGATAGAAACATTAATGATGCCAGAGAATCATGGATTGCCTGCCTCCTGCAGGCCCCACAATGGGGACCAAGCCTGCAACCCGGGCATGTGCCCTTGACTGGAATCGAATCTGGGACCTTTCAGTCCGCAGGCCGAAGCTCTAGCCACTGAGCCAGCCCAGCTTGGACAATTCTTATTTGTTTAAAAAGAAAGACAACCACATGACAGTGAGCTAGTCCGATTTATGTCCTGGGGCCCCTGAGGGCTCTCAGTTACATCAGCTGCTCTCACGCCTAAGACCACATCGCCCATCAGCTGCTCTCACACCTAAGACCACATCGCCCATCAGAAGCGTTTCCCACCGAGGCCCCGAACCAGCCTGAGTGCCATCCTCAGCTGCCCCTCTCATGGCCAATGCGCTCATCACAAAGGCGTCTCAGAGCCGGGTCACCCGGCTCAGGGAAAAGGTGCTTGTGTCCCAGCAAGCCTAAGCCTACCCGTGGCAGTGGTGTGGGGTCCTCAGCCAAGGCCTCGCCTTCGGTGCTTTGTGTGAGGCTATGATATATGAGAGGCCACAACAGAATCTGCAATTTCCACAGAAATACTTCCCCGCATCCAAAGTCTTCGACTGCAGAATTGCAAAGGCCAACTTGATGTCTGTTGAGGGAGCAGGTTATAAATGGTAACACCCCAAGCACGGGCCTTATTCTCTAGAGAGGTAAAGCCTAGGTTGACGGCATGACCTTGAGTGGAGGTCAGAGCAATGTCTGAGGGAAGGGGTGGGTCACTCAAAGGAGAGAACCAGGACACCCCAGCTGGGGGGTCGAGGACCAAGACCTGTCAGTCAGAACTGAAAATGTTCCTCTGTGTGTGTGTATCTTTAAATATGTTTTTACTGATTTATAGAGAAAGAGGGAGAGGGATAGAGATATAGCAACACTGATGAGAGAGAGAAACATCATCAACTGGCTGCCTCCTGCACCCTCCCCTCCCTGCACTGGGGATCGAGACCACAACCCGGACCTGTGCCCTGACAAGGAATTGAACCAGTGACCTCTTGGTTCATGGGTTGATGCCTAACCACTGAACAACACCAGCTGGGCTGTGTGTGTTTTTAAACTAGTCTGGCCTCTTCCAGGATCCAGGATGAAAATATAGAAAGAAAGCCAAGTTTCATAAAGACAAAGAAATATGGTGGTGTTTTACATTTGCTGTCTTCTGCGGCAGATGTCGTGGATTGGGCAAAGAAGCAATACTCTTTCTTAGGGAGGACAATGAGATTCTTCAACAGGGGGTGTTGGTTTCCCTAGAGCAGGGGTGGGCAACCCCTGGCACACGTGCCAAACATGGCAGGCCAGTAACTTTTGCTGGCCCGCAAAACCCTCTCTTATAATCTTCCATTTACAATTTTTTTTCTTAATATTGACTTTTTTATTTTTCAGATAAATTCAGTGTAGGTGCACCTTAGATAAAGAAATAATTTTACAGAACAAGTTATCTTAAAGACCATAGACATGGATTAACGAGAGAGGGGAAAGACTATCAGTGTCCATGTATACATTAAAAAATAAATGTATTTTTCATCATCATATACTGTGTTTTTGTTGCTCGAATGAATTTTATTTCTTCAAGGTTCTTCACATACGTACGCCTTAAGAGATATCAAGTAGGCGTAACATGTTCTCAAAATATTAGGGCTGGCACGCAGAAGAATTTTGAGTCAGAGATTTTGCTGATTTTGGCACGCACTCACAAAAAGATTGCCCACCCCTGCCCTAGTGTCTGTCAGTGACTGAGGCTCTCTCTTCTGCGCTGACGACCTGTTTGGAACACTGACCCACACTCACGGCAAGGAAGCAAGGGATGGCTACGACCATTCCTGACAGCGGCTGGGCTCGCTTCTGACTGACAGCCAAGGGCACCCACTTTCCCCGGGGACGAGCCTCAGTTTCCTCTGGGCTCTACTAAATTTGTGACCCTTGTAGCTACACCCTGCCGTCTGTTGAGTCATCGATGGTGATAAGCTCTAAGGCTACTATTCCAACACCTATTCAACAGACACATAAACAGAACTTCTGAAAATGGACATGAGTACCATCTTTGAAAAAGAGAAGAGAAACATCGTTCAGTGAAGAGAACTAGAGGGTGTTTCATTATGAGCCGGGTCTTGTAACAATCCTCTCTGTGCGGGGAGTGGCTTGTGCTAAGCTGCCTATGAAAGGAGCTTTCTCCTCCCAACACCAGCACCTTTATTTATGGGTGTGTTTACACATGGAAGATGTTGGAGACCCAAGTGGTGGAAGCACCAGCTTTACTGACTTAGCACCCTCTCTGGTGTTAGAAATTCCAAATGAGGAAATGAACAGTGAGACCCCTCCCCCACCCCCACAAAGAATAGGCTGGTTTCATGTGTGAAGACCAAGAATGCAATAATAATAAGTTGGATGATATATCTTGTTACTGTTAATACTTTCATATGTGTAGTCACTCTGAGATGCAGGCAATTTCCATCCTAAAGACTTCATATTCACTGAGAAAATAGTCTTTGAGTAACAAAAGGAGGCGGAAAAAGAATAGATGAATGTTTAGTGGGTCATCTTCACCTGTCCAAAAGCTTATTAATCATTCGAGTCTCAACTCAATTCATGACTCTCCCTGATCTCTTCTGCCTACTCTAGACACCCTGCTATCTACCTTTCTGATTTCCTTCAATGCTGCTGTGTGTTTAGTTTGGTTGATTGTTGCTTAAGACTCTGTGCTTTTAAAATTTTTACTCGTTGGCATAAATCTCTCCCATCTTAATGTGTGCATGTTGGGTGAAACATCCACTTTGCACCTGGTCTTTCCCATTTACCTCTTCAACATTTTCCTCTCTTGAGTTTCCTACACTTGCTGTCTCTGTTTTCTCATCTTCTCATCTCGCTCTTTCCAACTATCAAAGCCTCTCTTGCTAAGTTCATCCACAGCCCTGGTTAGGGTGGCTCAACTGGTTGGAGCATCGTCCCATACACCAAAAGGTTTCAGGATCAAGTCCCCGTCAGGGTACATGCCTATGTTTCAGTTTGATCGCCCATTGGGGCACAAACAGGAGTCAACTGATTGATGCTTCTTTCTCTCTCTCTCTCTCCCTCTCTCTCTCTCTCTCTTTTCTTTCCTTTCTCTAAAAATCAATTAAAAAAACAAACATATCCTTGGGTGAGGATTTAAAAAAAAAAGATCATCCACAACCTCCTTGTTGAAAACCCAATGGATGTTTTCCCTGCCTCAAGGGCATCTTACCCATAGACCATTCCCCTTTCCCTGCTGGATTCTCAGCCTGTTTCCAGAACCCTCTTCTCCTGTGTGTTCTCTTCACAGGCCCAGTTAGGATTCTGGCCCAGCAAGGTCGGCCTAAGTTGCTCTCCTTGGGCACCCGTATCCAGGTTGTCCCTTCAGTTTCCTCTGTGGTCCTTACCTGCCTTTGAGTTAGTGGCGATTAAAAGCAAACTTGCATTGATTTTTGTTCCCAGAAAAGAAAATAGACATATGCAAAATAAGCTCACACATTTGAAAACAGTTCAGGAGATCCAGAGGCTCTGTGTTACCCACAGAGATCCAGGGAACCCCTCCTCACCCTCCATCATCGCCAGGTGAGGATTATCTGACTGACGTGTTGGTAAGTCCTGGGTCTCCCTCTCCACTCTTGCTCCTGGGCATCTCAGACTCCACATATCCTCATCACATGCTTTGGCTTCCCTCTCCCACCTAGTCCTCCTCCTGTGGGTTCCGTCTCAGCAAACGGCATCACCTTCCAATCAGTTGGTCAAGAATGACTCCTTCCCTCCCTTTCCTACCACATCTCATTGTCATCACTCAGCCTCTCCACAGGTTCTAAGAGGCCTCCTCCTGACAGCTCTCAGATCCACCTGGTTCTGGCCACTGCCACTCCCCTAGTTGAGATCAGCAGCATCATCTTGGATCTGGTTCAGCGCGGTGGCTCCTAAACAGAGCTTACTGCCTGCAGTCATGCTACTCTCTCACCCAATCTCAACACAACAGTCCAAACCACCGTTTACTCAAAAATATGTGGGTCAACCTGGCTTAGAACCATAGAAAGATTTCCCATTATTCTCAGAATAGAGTCCACGCTCTACAACATGGTCTACAAGTTCCCTGGGAGTCTACGTCTTCTTGCACTGGAATGCCTTTCCCACATGCTCCCCTGATGCGGGCAAGGCCGGTCACGTGATAAGGCCCTCATTGTCGCTCCTACAGACGTGGGTTGTATTGTCACTGTGAGCTCCTGGGAGCAGCAGTCCTGTCTGCCTGATTTACCACAACATCCCTAGCATGTGTCAAGTGCTGGCGCATAAGTACTCAGAAAATATCTGACCAATAAACAGCTGGGCAGAGCGCTGCTTGGAC